ATGAAATCACAGAAAATTTATAAAGAAATTCATTCTTAAGAGAATCCATTAATTTAGCATTTCTCTAATTAGTTTGATGGGAGTCAGCAAATAATTTATGAAGGGAAATAAGGATCTGTGCTGTTGGACATTTCTCCATTAAATCATGATCTTGGCTTGCGCCCCCATTTACTATTGCGGTCCATTGCCATAAATCCACTGATGAAGAACTGAATTCCGTACAAATATATACCTAACAAATGCCTAACAAAAGGGGTGCATTCCTGAATTCCGTACAAACATATACCTAACAAATGCCTAACAAATGGGGTGCATTCTTTTTTTCTTTTTCCTTTTTTTTTTGGCAAACGGTGTATTTTTGTTCACCACCATAACTATGATGTATGCTCATCATGTACCTAACCATTTGTTATGTGTTCTTTCACCTAACTCTAGTTAACTTCCACATTAAATGTTACTTTTTCAGTTTTGAAAAAAAAAAAACCAAGGTTAAGTAAAGATGATTGGATTATTAATTAAGTGTCGATTAATGTGCTTGTTTCTCATTTGGTTTACAATTTGATTTAAAAAAATTTGATCTCCCTAACATTACCCATAAAAAAAATGTTTAGTAAAAATAAAATAAAATGCTTATTTTTAAGGGAACTTTAACGAAAAACTCCCGATACTGTTCACTTTAACGAAAAACCACATTTTTACACTAAAAAGTCAATCTTGGTGCTATTCACTTTACCCGTTATTTGTCCTTATTATTAAACCTCAAAGTTTTCAAGTCATTTTCATTAGTTTTCCTTATTTTTAAAACAATAGCTTCCAACATTTTTTTTAAAAGCATGTAGGTTGCTTTTAAACGTTACTTTTATAAAAAGCATAACTAAGTCTGTAATGAATATTTTTATACTCTCGTTAACATTTAAAAAATTACATTACAACTAGCACCCCCTTCAATCTTAAGAAAAATAACTACTGTGATGACCTTTTTATGAAAAATAAGTCTGATATTGATCAATATGCTCATATTAAGCAAGGACATCCATATTTTGAACCCTTTCACGAATCACGAACAAAATGAAAATCAGTATGAAGGTGGTTTAGATAAGAACACATAAAGGTTGTGCAACATCTGTAAATTGACAGAAAATTTATTGACACACATAAGGTGTTATAGAATACGGTGTGTCTGATCTGATGAAGGTGATTAAGTTTTCCCACGAAGATCCTACTAAGTGTAGAATTTGGTAAAAGAATTCCATTTTTAAGAAATTACATGAGGTGTATTACATATCCATGCAAGCTTTGGAAAGCAAATCCTTAACATGCTTAATTACCTTGATTAAGGAAAATGTCCACGTTTGATGCATAAGAAACCTCAATTTCTTAAAATATTGTCTTGCCATGTCTTTCATATAAAAAACAATTCCCAAATCATCTATTACGCTTTGAACCAAGGACTTAGAAGATCCTATTAGTATAATGTCATGACATATAATAACAATATAACCACATCAGCAACATGTTGTTTAACAAAGAGACTAGGTTCAGATGAGAAACCGTTAAACCAAGAGAGGGTGAATACCCTATAAATTTGTCATTCCACACTCTTGTTTAAACCAAGAGAGGGTATATATCTCATATGTGTTTGATAAAGAAGTATCGTGTGCAAAGTTTATGTTTGACGATTGCAATCAATGTCGTGCCACTTTCGTGCAGAAAAAAGCAAATTTGTTGAGTACTCAACTAACCAGGGCATTTAGGAAAAAGCTGCCTTCTAGTATGCATGTCTAATAAGTTGAGTTTTTGTCAAGTCCCTTTTGTATTTGTTTGACTTAGAGTAGATTGATTTTTGCCGAACAAAGTGATCGAAGATTTTATCATTGGTGAGTTTTTTCTCGTTAAATCCTAGATGATTGTGCATGGTGTATTCCTAGTTGATAATATATATGTAGCTAATTACATGATTGCAAGACTATTTTAATCATGCGATATAAGACATTAACAAACTCGTGTACCATTCTAGCATTATAAAGCTCTCTATGAAAGAAATCATGTTTCACATCCATTTGTCTCAAATCCCCCCTTTATGTTGCAGCTAAAGCCATTACTACTCCTTCGTGTAGAGATTATAGTTTCCTCTGGTCCCCAATATGATGTTCAAATTATAAAATTAATGAAGAACATAAAAGACTTCTTAATCATATGATTTCTTGATTCACTATTTATTGAGGATATTAGCAGTTGATCACTTGTTACACAAGAAGGATTACTAGAGAACTCTTCATCAAGTGATGCATATATTTAATCACAAGAACATGGGCGCTCCGAACTTAATCGAGATTCCCACTAATATTGAGAAGAGTGATATCAATAGACGGCCGAGTCAGTTGACAATTAGGGTTACACATTTGAACATACATAATACCGCTTATATCAGATCCAAAAGTATAGATCATAAGTGGTAATTAATAGTAAAGAAAATAAACGATTTAATATTAAGATAATGCTTTTGACAAAAAAATATATATATATTAGAATAATGCTAAGGAAACCAAAATTGTAAACCAATTGACAAACCAAATGATGTGTAACCAATAAAAAGCAAACACATTAATCGATACTTAATTAATAATTGAACCATTCAAAATCACATCATTTAATTTGCTATATTAATTAAGCCATACGTACCATCAATATAAAGGTTGTCAGTTTCGGACCTAATAAAATCAGTGTACATTAACTGAGTGGCAGATGAGTAAGTGGCATTAAAATCGTTACTGTAAAAGAAGTTCTACCAGTACGTGTTTTTACATTTCATTTCATTTAATTTCAGTAATTTCACCAGGAAATATAAAATAAAGGAGTAATTAGGACTACCAAATTAAAGAACTGCAAAGAATTAGGGTTTGATCGCTTGCCCTAGAAACCTCCCCCGGCAACAAACACCACCGCCACTCCCGTTCAAATCCGGTAGTACCACCTCCTCCCTCTCTTCATCTCCCTCATAGTCGAAGAACAACGGGAAGAGAGTGGCAGGTGAAGCCCCGCCGAAGCCAATCAGGCCCCGCCCAAACCCGAACCATCATCTTCATCGTCGCCATCTTCTTCTTCTTCTTCCTCCGCTTGATCACCAAGTTTTTCTGCGACGGCGGCGCGTGTTAGAGGTTTGGTTGTAGACCTGACATTCATGTCGTATTTTCCGTGTTCGTGTTGTTTTCGTGACATATTCGATATTTTAACTGGTCATGTTGTGTAACATCCGTTAAAGTAAACGGTAATATAATCCGACCCGAACTCGACCTGTTAATATTATTAGGTAATACAACGCGACCCAAACTCAACATATATGCCATTTCAGGGGTAATGCTAAGGGGACTAAACTTTGTAAACTAAATAACATGAAAGTTGATGATTAGATTATTACTTAAGTGTTGATTAACATATTTATTTCTTATTGGTGACACATTATTTATATTGCAAATTTAGTCTATAAATTTAGTTTACCTAGTATTATCCACTATATTAGCGCACTAATTTTAAGAGAATGACCAAATCAACGTGTAGCAATCAATTTCAAGGATAAAATTCATTGATTTTGAAATTCAAAAAAAATAAAATAATAAGAAGTTAAATCAATTTCAGAGGTGTGATAAAAACCCAAACAAGAATAATATTACTGTAAACCTAATTAAAGTCATTGCACATTCAATTCACTATATATTATTAGCTAAAAGGCTGACATCAAACTTTGGATCATCATAAATGACAAGGCATTGTTATATAACTTGGCTATGGGATTTAGGGTTTCTTTTCTCAATTAGTACGTTGTTATTAGTTTCTTACAATATTACTGTAAACCTCATTAATATATCCATGCAATAATATTTTTGTTTGAGGAACACCAATTGGGTTTTGGTTTGACATGATGTAATTGGTGATCCCTTGTTTGGCTGATAATTAATAATATACTTTGTAATGCTTGTGTCTGATACTCTTTTTTCTTCGTATGAGTTGAAAGCTCCATTAAAGTTTTAACGAGGTCACATTTCGTGCACCCTAAAAAGACCAAATTCACATCTATATTCCCAACCCTAAAAGGATCGATCTTAAAAAGAAAATGTATATGTTATATGTCATCATATTAGTAGGGAGAGAGAGAGAGATACACACACACATATATATATATAAACTTTAACCCCTGAAAATATGGGAAAAGAAACTTTAAGGGTAATAAACGGTCTGATATGATGTCTAGCTGGAAGCGGGACACAAATTTTTACTTCTTGAACTGCATGTGTATAATGCTTATAAACAATCATAACGGCTCTAACTCTGCATGGTAAATATAGCAATGGATCATGAACTTCATGTTGGTGTTAAATAAAAAAATAGGAAAACTAATGAAAAGGGCTTGAAAATTTTGAGTTTTAATGATAAGGACAAAATAAAGGGTAAAGTGAATAGTACCAGGTTTGATTTTTTAGTATAAAAATGTGGTTTTTCGTTAAAGTGAACAGTACCGTAGGCTTTTCGTTAAAACTCCCTAAAAAAAAGGTTTTTAGCCAAAATGATTTCTGAGATTTGCATAACTCATCATTTTAGTATTTGAGATTTGAAACCAATAGAAGTAGTCCATGAGTTTGTCTACTATTAATTATTTTGGTTATTCCATGAAAAATTATGTTAAATAAGAAGCAAAATGACAAAAATACCCTCAATTTAATGAACAATGGACCAAATGATTTGACAAAAATTGAGAGTATTTTTGTCATTTTAGCCTTATTTAATGAAGATTTTTCATGGAATGACCAAAATGATTGATGGTTGATAAACTTAGGGACTACTTCTATTGATTTCATATCTCAGGGACCAAAGTAAGGAGTTATACAAATTTCAAGGACCATTTTGACAAAAAAGCTTCAAAAAAATAAAAATAAAAATCCATTTGTGCCCGATATAAATAGTGACGCATTGTGGGGGTTCTAGGTCGTAGCAAAAATCCCAACACAAAATCTTACAGAAAAGGAAATCTAGTTGCTGGCTGCTACCACTCTAGTCTCTAGCTACAAACTACTCCTCATCGATCTTGTCATTAGAGGCATTAAGGCGCATGCTTTCACTTTTTAAGTCCAAACAACTTAAGTAACAACTCAGCTAGCTAACTAGGCACTCATTGCCTTTCTGTTTAATTAGCATCGCCATTTCCACCAAGATATAAATACTTAATCCGTCAAGATAGAGAGATGGGAAAGTCTAGCGGCTATCCACCGGCGTCAGGCATAAAGAAAGGTTCATGGACCCCTGAAGAGGACAAAAGGCTTTTAGCTTACATTCAACTACACGGCCATGGAAGCTGGCGTTCCTTGCCCCAGAAAGCTGGTACGTTCTTATGGGTTAGGTTTAGGGATTGTGGTTATTGTGTTTGTACGGTCTGTAAAGGCTTAAGTTCTAATTTGCTATCTTCCTCTTCTTTCATGTAGTTAATATGCTGATTATAACTAACCCTAATTAACTTGGCCTTCTGTTTATATGCATACAGGTCTAAAAAGATGCGGGAAGAGCTGTAGGCTAAGGTGGAGAAACTACCTCAGACCTGATATTAAGAGGGGAAATTTCAGTTTGCACGAAGACCAAACCATCATTCAACTCCATGCACTTCTTGGCAACAGGTAAAAGACATTACTAATATTTAGGGAATGCATGCATGTTGTTGTGGTACTTAATTTGTTGGTTTTGTTTTTGTTTTGGTCATTTGACTTTCGTGATATCATTAAAACACACAAAACCGCATTCTCCAATGGAAGTATGTCTTTTCATTGTATGTGAGGTGTCTCTATTGTATTAGAGAGTGTGAGCAAGTATGTCAGTTTTATATGTCCGAATAATTTCACTCTTATACTATTATACTTCCATGTGAGCTAATGGTAAATACATAAATATCCTTGTGTAATCTGTAGGTGGTCGGCCATAGCTGCACACTTACCAAAGAGAACAGACAATGAGATCAAGAACTACTGGAACGCAAATCTGAAGAAAAGGTTGGCCAAGATAGGATTTGACCCTGTAACCCACAAGTCCAAGGCTGCCATTCTTGCCTCTGCAAATGGCGACCCCAAAAAGTTGTCAAATCTCAGCCACATTGCTCAGTGGGAAAGTGCCAGGCTTCAAGCCGAGGCCAGGTTCGTCAAAGAATCCAAACTACGTATGCATGAATCTGCGCCGGCGGTGTCGTTTTTCGATGATTATCATCAGCTTGCTCCACCACTAGTTCCACAGTGCCTTGACATACTAGAAGCATCCGCATGGGAAAGCCTAATATCCATGTCAAAGTCATCGTCAAGATCCGCTGCCCTAACCAATGATATAAACGGCCTGGATCATCATCATGTTCATGACCATGGTCTTAATATGAACGGCCAAGATTATGGTCCTAATTTTCAGGTTCCAATATCTGATCAACAATTATCAAGCCTGATGGGATTTGATGAAGCAACGGCGCCATCAGTAGCCACTGGATCGATGAATATCAATGAACATTTCGGTCAATATTGTGGTAATGAATGCAGTGAATTATTGGTGGTCCTCCATCAAAATATCGGTTTTGAATCCGAAGATGCTTGGACTAGTTTGGAAAAATTAATGTAAGAATCAATGGTGGACTTTATGACGTGAACGAACACTAGTCAGATTATAACTTGACGGGGACTTGTCACTCAGCTTGTCACGCAGTATCAAATTCTACGATGTAGTTTTCTTATCAGCAGGGACGAAGCCAGAAATTAAACTAAGAGGGGGCACCTTAAAAAATTTGAGCTCCTTTTTTGGACAAATAAAGCTAGTTCTTTTACAAATGCTGAAAAAAAAATAATTACAAAATGCCTAATTTTATTACTCTATTATCTAATTTTGTCTTTAATTGTTGACAATTTAATGCTCATTTGCACTAATTAACTAAATACATGCAACTCAACAAGGTTTAGATATTAGTACGTGAGAAAAATATACAAGATATTAGTACGTGAAAACTAAAGCAAAATCCTAATCCTTAAAGGATATAGAAAACTCTAATCAACCCTAAATCCTAACCCTTAAAGGATATAGAAAATTCTAATATCCTTGTCCCACAAGAAAACCATAAACAAAAATAAACTAATAACTAATTTTCCAACACCAAATACATGCAACTCAACAAGATTTAGATATTAGTACGTGAGAAAAATATACAAGACAGAGGGGCATTTAAAAACTAAAAGAGGATTTTCACTATTTTAATATGATTAATTGAATAATCTGCAAAGCAAAAAAAAAAAAAAATGATTAATTGAATAATTTGTAATGAAAAAAAAAGGATGAGAGGGGGCATGTGCCCCACTAGGCCTTACTTCCCTCCGTCCATGCTTATCAGAGGAGGGTTACTTAACAAACTTGACGGGACTTCTGATGGAATAATTCTCCACGCGCAGTAACATCTGCATGAAATATATAAAAAAAAACTAGCTGCTAAATTAGGCGATGGTTTTATTAGGGTTTAAGAAGTAATATTATATGCACTTTTTGGAGAATTTCTAGGTCATCCAATTAATGATGTAATAATATTGATCACCACTTTTATAATTAATGTGTCTCTTCTACTCTAGTTTAACTAATATTACTGAGCAGCCTCTTACTGCCAAGAAAAAAAAGGAGAATGGAAAAGGAACATGAAAAGAAATATATAACAAAATACTTTGTTTGGACGCTTCTCTGAAAATAAGAATTTTGGACTATTTATGGGCAAACACTGCTATATTATGCTTTTCGTTAGTTCTTTTGGCTTTTGTTACAAGCATTTTCAAACATTCCCTTGATTTTTCAAAAAAATTATGAATTCCATAATTATTTTCTTATCTTCGTTTAGAAGCTAGAGTTCTATTGTACATCAACATATAATATATACGTAACACGAAAATTTCTGTAACGAATAGCAGAATAACATGATGAAATTAGGGTTACAATCTCAATGGGTATCCTTTTACAAGCATATTCTTCTGATTTGATCTCCAGTATTTGTGTTGATTCAAGGGTGATGCACACTTGATCTTGAATTGGACTTGAGGTTTCTTGAAGGGCCATCAGGGCTTGATTTTGAACAAAACGGGACCATGAGGGTTTCACGTGGTAGCTTCAATTTTAGTGTGGATGAATTCGCACATGTATTTGTTGTGTTTGTTGATTCTCGAAGAACACCAATGCTTAGTTTAGCTAGAGAGCTTTCTCATTCTCCAAGGGCTTGAACTTCCTTTGCTTCTCTCCCATCTCCTCTTTCTTGAAAATGAGTCCGATGTTTATAGGCAAGCAATTGAGTGTTAGTTTAGAATCCCCAATCTGAATCCCATAATTTGCGAGATTGATTTTCTGATTTGATTTACTTTGAGCTAATTATTTAATTTAGCTTTTAATTAAACCAACATCTTTAATTTAGACTAATTCATTTACTTTAGTCATTAAAATCAGAATTAGTAGCTTAAGAAATTAAACCATAATTGAGGGATTTGATCAATTAGGGTTAATTTGCTCTTTTTTTACTTGATTTGATTTGTTTGAGTGAGGTCTCAAATGTCGACGTATGTCACTCTTGATGACCCGTTCGCCTTTGATGATTCACATGCAATGCAAGCCATTTGGCAAGACCCAAGGTGTGCGCAACATAAGCCTTAGTGAGTCAAAATTTAATTTGTTGGTGAACATTTATTTCATCAAAATTTCGCTGTCTGCAATATAATATTTTTTAGGTGGTTCAGGAAGTTTCATTATAATCTTAAGCCAGCATATCCAACTGTAAAATTTCAAAAATGTTGGAGTTTGTATGCAAATTGTCACATATATATATCGTTAGTGTATATATTGTCAAGATACTTGATATTATAATCTTCATATTAATAGTAATTTGGTGCGAATAATATTTTATATAGGTCTGTTGGTATAAGACCGAACAGGTATTTGGATAAGCCAAATTCAAATTTTCATACTTATCTCTTCAATTTGAATTTGGATTATGCGGGCAGTTTCTTAACTTCCTAATACCTGTTGGGAAGGGATGCCTAATATCTTATATAATAGCAAAGAGGTCAGACACGAAAAAAGAATATATAATAATATACATCTACTGCATATAAGATACATATCATTTGGAAGAGAAAGCATTCAAAGGTTCGCCAGAATTCAAAGTTCCGGTGCTGGAACTTTGAATTATAGATAGTTGGATCTTGGGGGACGGACGCCCGTTGAACTACAAGCATGGAGTAGGGGCGCAATTCTGTCTTTAGGACACTGCAAATCTGCAGGCCTCTATCTTTTCGATCAAGTCAGTTTTTCTACTTTCTTGTCTCTTTTATTTTACAATATTTCAATACGAATTGGTTGTAATACAATATTGGATTATAGTTATTTCATTTGTATATTATAATTTGTTATCAATAAAGTTGTATTCTGATTGTTTGTTCCAACAATCTAAAGACAGAATTGTTGTGATGGATCAAACATTAGTGAATGCAACAGGCGTTAAGAATCCTCTCCCTGAGAAACCAGAGAAATTCAAAGGTGTGGACTTCAAAAGATGGCAACAAAAGATGTTATTCTTTCTGACCACAATGAACCTAGCCCATGTTGTGAAGGAGGAGGCTCCTGTGGTGACTGAACTACCAGCGGATAAGGACATGTTGTCTGCAATAGACGCTTGGACTCACTCTGAGTTTCTTTGTAGAAACTATATTTTGAATGGGCTAGACGATTGTCTGTATGATGTATATTCATCATGCAAGACTGCCAAGGACCTTTGGGATTCACTGACCAAGAAATATATCACTGAAGATGCTGGATCAAAGAAGTTTATCATTGGTAAATTTCTGAAATTCAACATGGTGGATTCCAAACCTGTCATGGGCCAAGTTGAAGAACTCCAACGCTTAATCCATGATTTACATGCTGAAGGATGCTCTATTAATGAACACTTCCAAGTTGGGGCAATCATTGAAAAACTGCCTTCATCTTGGAATGATTTTAAAATCTATTTGAAGCATAAGCGCAGGGAGATGTCTCTGGAAGATTTAATTCTCAGGCTAAGGGTCGAAGAGGATCATAGGAAAGGCGACAAAGCTGATGCGTCTTCCATGGAAGCCAAGGCCAACTTCGTTGAGGCTAGCAATCCAAGGCCAAAGCATTTCCAGAAAAACAAGGAGAAGAATGCTAAAAAGAATTCAAAAAAATCAAAGGAGCATGCTGGGTGTGCGGAAAACCGGGGCATAGGGCACAAGATTGTCGTTTCCGAAAGGATATGAAATCTACCAATTCAAACACCAACAATCGCAAGATCAACGAAGCCAATGTGACTGAAGGAGATATGTTGGTTGGTGTTGTTTCAGAAACCAACATGGTATGTGATACAAATGATTGGTGGATTTACACCGGAGTAACGAGGCATATTTGTGGGGACAAAAACTTGTTCTCTACCTATGAACCAAATTCAAGTGGTGAAAAGCTTTATATGGGGAATGCCTCCGCTACAGAAGTTGTTGGAAAAGGAAGAGTTGTATTAAAGTTCACTTCTGGGAAGGAACTTACCTTGCTGAATGTTCTCCATGTTCCTGAAATTAGGAAGAACTTAGTTTCAGGGCCTTTGTTAAGCAACAAGGGCTTTAAGTTAGTGTTCGAATCCGACAAATTCGTGCTTAGCAAGGGAGGAATGTTTGTAGGCAAGGGTTATTTGGCTGAGGGATTATTCAAACTCAATGTAATTGTTGATGTTTCTATTAATAATATAAATAAGGCTTCCGTTTATTCTGTTGAGTCTATTGAACTTTGGCATGCTAGATTAGGCCATATTAATTATCGATCAATGCATAGAATGGCTAATTTAGGATTAATACTGAAACATGCTATAGATTTCAATAAAAATGTGAAATATGCGTTGAATCAAAGTTTGCTAGACAAACTTTTAAATCAGTTTTAAATAAGTCCAGTGAGTTACTTGATTTAATACATAGTGATCTATGTGACTTTAAATCAACACCAACTCGAGGAGGAAAGAATTATTATATTTCTTTCATTGACGATTGCAATAAGTATTGCTATGTTTATCTAGTTCATAGCAAGGATGAAGCCTTGAATATGTTTAAGACATATAAAGCCGAAGTTGAAAATCAACTTAACAAGAAAATCAAAGTTCTACGATCGGATAGAGGAGGCGAGTATGAATCTTCTGCCTTTGCAGATTTTTGTAATGAACATGGAATTGTACATCAAACGACGGCACCGTATACGCCTCAACAAAACGGTGTAGCGGAAAGAAAAAATAGAACTTTAAAAGATATGATCAATTCCATGCTTAATAGTTCTGGGCTTCCACATAATATGTGGGGTGAAGCTTTGCTTACTGCAAACAAAATCTTAAATCAAATTCCACATAAGAGGACAAATCAATCTCCTTACGAATTGTGGAAGGGAAGGATGCCCACATATAAAATATTGAAAGTGTGGGGTTGTTTAGCAAAAGTTCGAGTTCCTTTGCCGAAGAGAACTAAGCTCGAACCAAAAACTGTCGATTGTGCATTCATTGGCTATGCTAATAACAGTGCAGCGTTCAGATTTTTAATTGTAAAATATGAGATTGTGGATATACATGTGAACACAATTTTGGAATCTATTGATGCTGAGTTCTTTGAGAAGATATTTCCATATAAAGATAATAAATTAAGTTCTAGTAAAAAGAGATCACATGAACAAATTCATGATGATGCTCCACCGACATCTGATGTCCAAGTTACAGACTTGGAACCAAGAAGAAGCACTAGAATAAAAATTCCTAAAAGCTTTGGGCCTGACTTTATAGCTC